AAACAGCAGGAGGCACTCATCCATGTTAAATTTAGCGATAAATTTATCAATAAAAAATAGCGCAATTCGCTCCACACCCTCTTGGGGGAAACAAAAGAGGAAGAATAAGAAAAAGATACTGAATAAGAAACTCAATTATCCTTCATAGATAAAGATTCCAAATTCTGATCCTAATGCATATTTACTATTCATTTCCTTTGAAACCTAAACAGCAGAAATCGTTTTTGTTTGAACTTGAATATGTGTGTGTGTACACATATGTATATATTTTAGCATGGAGATTCTTAGTTCCAAAGCATGACACCTACCTAGAGAGGAGATGTAAATTTCCCCAAAATCAGATAAATCATGCTCGCACATCGAAGAAGTCACCCACAAGTCGTCTCAAAGAGAAATAAAGCAATCAGACATGAAAACAAGTCTTGAAATAAGCTAAATAATCAGATCTCTACAACTATCAAACCCAAAAATCAGGTCTATGAGTTTACCGCAAGTTCAAAAGATGTCTTTCGATTTTGAAACAGCCAGCTCCTCTCAGTCTTTTCGCTATTAATTACAGTATCTGGAAATCTAAGATACTACAAATAATCCTCGGGTTTAGATTGTTTGGTTCCAAGTCGTTGCCGAATCGATGAACCCTAGCTTTTTGAGCGAGAAGGAGAGAGACACATGCCCCCTCAGCACCTGCTAACGTTTAGGTTAGCAGCTGAGGTTTCAACGTTTAGTCGAGCAGCTGTGGCCTCCAGACAGTCAAAATTGCGATATTAGAGATTGTGGGAGCAGGGATAGATCCGTATTTATAAGAGGAGCTCGAAGGTTTGTGCTGACGTGGTTAAGGACTGTTCGTTCTCTTTTTTTTTTTTTTTGTGGGGGAAGTTAAAACAATATGAGCGGGTCAGGGGCATGGGAAAGGGCGTTTAAGTTTTGAATTATTGAGGCGGCGCCGTTTCATGCAATGTTGGGGGTGGCTGGTGTAAAAGATTAGTAATCATACGTGTGTGTATAAACAAATTGAATCTTCTTTACTATTTGCTTGCATATTAGATTGTTTAATACACGGGTTTGTTTGGATAGCCAATTATTCCAAATAATAATTCGCTTGCATCATAAACACATTTTTCAACTCACTTTTTAATATTTCCAACCTCGTCTTTTTATTTCATTATATTATATTACAAAAAGTGCTACAGTCATTATTCTAAATAATATTTTAAATAATACTCTATCCAAACAATCATATTAATATTTGCTTACATTATCAACATATTTTTCAATCACCTTTTTATTTCATGTACATCATATCAAAAAAAGTATTATAATATTTTTCAAAAATCATCCCAAATAATCTACTATACGAACACACTTATATTAGTTTTTATGCATTTAACAATGACAATATATAGTTCTCACAAGGGTGGTCCAGCGGTAAGCGAGCTTTTAAGAACTTCTGAGGTTCTGAGTTCGAATTTTATCATGAACTTAAACCCCTGTGACTCACTCGGAGTCGTTGCGTGGGGTCGTGGTGTGCCAGCTCGAATCCTAAGGGTTCGAGTCGGGCCATATTCCGGATTACCAAAAAGAAAACAATGACAATATATACATTATTAATGTATATAAAATTAATCATATATATAAGTAATAATTAAGTACTCCCTCCGTTCCATATTTTTCATCGCTTTTCGGGATTCTAACTTTGTCAGAATAATGGATTGATTATGATGTAAATGTTTTTATTTCCAAACTTTTCCAAACTTGCCCTCAAATTTAAAATATAAATTTGAATATAACATGATATACAACTAAAGGTCTGTCTGTGTCTGTGTTGATAATATTTAAGTACTACTCTCGTCCCACATTTTTCATTGCTTTTTGGGATTAACTTTTTAAAAATAATGGATTAATTGTGATATAAATGCTTTTGTTTCCAAACTTGCCCTCAAAATTTAAATTTTGAATTTAAATATCACATGATATACAACTATAAGTAGAGACAACATTAGAAAAAATAATAAAAGTAACTTTAGTTTTAATAAAATAACAAACATTTTGAAACATTACAGAATGAAAGGTATGCCGCTATCAGTGGAATGAAAAAAATATATTCTTTAACAACTGCGTGGTCCAAATAAATTATGATATGTGCATTTACTCAACAAGATCAAAATTAGTTGCTCTGTAAGCTCCAATAGTTAATTTGAATATAAATTTGTATAACTATACTCCATTTGGATTAGTTATTTTTTGGGATATTTTAAAAATATTTTATTAGAGCAATGTATATGAAAAAATTTCACTATAAATGTTTTTAAAAATTTTTTTTAGATATATTTTGGAATATTTTTAAAATTTAAAAATTAACACCATCACTTATCACCACCACCACTAGGGGTGGCAATTTTCGACACGACCTGAAAACACGACACGAACCTAACACGAAATTAATGGGTTTGGGTTGAGGTTTCGGGAATTCGGGTCAGAATCGGGTTGGACCCGATGAACCCGAAAAGAAAACAGGTCGATTTCGGGTCAACCCGTGGCGACCTGATATGACCCGATATGACCCGTTTACGAATTAAAAATAATTTAATAAACATAAAAACAATTTTATCTAACTAAACTAAGTTATTCTTTTTTTCAAAGGCATTAATTACTTAATCCTAAATGAATTTATTTAATTTGTGTGAAGTTGAAATTATTATATTTAGACAAATAATATATTATATTATTTTTTACTTTTATACTGTTTTAATTTATTTTATATGTTGTTTGGGATAAAACACTTTTACCGTGTTTAATTTATTTTAGATTTGGTTTGGAATTATTTATTTAAATTTTTATTACTTGATTATGTAATTAGTTTTGTGAGAAATTGATTTTATTAGAAATTACAGTGATAAATTAATAAATTAAAATTAAGTTTCGGGTCATTTCAGGTCGACCCCGCCAACCTGAAATTTTCGGGTTCGGGTCAGCATACCTGACCCGTCACGGGTTGGCGGGTCGGGTTCGGGTCAACAGATTTTCTGACGGGTTGACCCGAACCCGACCCGCCAACCTGGTTTGGACCCGAATTGCCACCCCTAACCACCACCACCCCCTCCCTCTTATTCCCTCTCTTTTTTCTTTCTCCTCTTTCTCTGCTCTCCTTCCCTTCCCTTCCCTTAGGCTTCATTTGGATGGAGAGAAAAAGACAGAAAAGAAAGTATTATAAGATAAAATTTTATCATTTCATTCCTTTGGGAGTTTTAACAAGGACGGAAGAGAAACGAAATGAACGGATAGGACTTCCTCTAATTGGTGAAAAATTTTCCACCCAAAATTGGGAAGAAAAAGATGAAAACTTGTTGGGCGCCAAAAGATACTTTTAATATGACAATTTTGTCCTTTAAAATCTAATACAAAAATTTATTATTCCCGATATATCCTAAAGTTGATTTGTAAAAGCAACGATGCAAAGCTTTCTCAGTTCTATACTTTCTATTCTTCCAACTATTTAGTTCACTTGGTTTTCTTCTATTCTTCACCCACAATTCAATAACAAAAGGTATTTCTTTGACTCAATCTCTTCTTTCGTTCTTTGCTCAATCTTCTCTAAAGAATCGTGGGAAAAGCATTTTTTTTGTGTAGATTGTTATTGTTTATATTCTAAATTTTTTGTTCATTTTCTATCATAAAATTCTTGTCAATAAACTCTTAATTTTTATATTATTAATTTGTGATTATATCTTGCATGGTTATGGTACATGTAAGCTCCAGTGGTGATACATGAATATGAAATTTGAATGCATACAATCTGTTTGTTTATTTGCCTATGTAAGCTTCAAATTGTAAAATGATCTCATGGATTTCAGTTTCCATGCTGTAAATCAACAATCCGTACAGCTTCACAAAACTGATGCCTCTAGGAATTTTATCATCCATGGGATCAGCCCCTGAATTTGATTACAAACATTGAGCTTTTTATAGATTGGGCTAATAATCAATAAATGTATAAAAAATATGTCTTACACCATTTGGGAACTCAACTTATTATTATTCATCTTGTGGGAATGCATATGCAATTATTTTAGAAATTTGCCTTGTCCAAATATTCTATTTATTGGAACAAGAAAGCTAATCTTTGGACTTTGATTTAAAAATTGAAAGGGAAAATACGTAGTAAAGTTTTGTTCTCATAAAATTCTTTTTTCTCATATTTCTCCAACTCTCAAATAAGAGAAAGATGTTTCTTTTCTTTCATTGAACTCTCAAACGAAATATGCATCTTTTCTCTTCTTTTCCTTTCTTTCCTAAGTTATATTTTCTTTTCTCTTCTCTTCCTTCATAAACTCCCAAACTAAGCCTTACCCTCCTCTCCTCCTCTCCCCTCCCCTTTTCCGCCATACCTCACCCCTCCCCTAATACATGGTCTCGATGGGTCTGGTAAGAAAGGGGAGGGGAAGGGGAAGAGAGGAGGAAAGGAGGAAAGGAGAGGAGAGGAAAGAGGGGTAGTGCATGGGACCTAGTGATTGTGAAATTATATGCAGTAAATAATTGTTCTTGCACTGCATATTCTTCTTTTTGTGACGATGGAACAGGATGCGAGCTTTATAGCTAGTTTGTGAGTTGAGGATAGAAAAGAAAAGAAGAGAAATGTTAAGTTATGAGAGAAAATAAAGGATAATAAAAGAATAGAAGAGATTTTAATGTTGTTTGGGAGTTTATGAAAGAAAGTAGGTGATTTTGGACGCATAAGTAAATAAATATTTCATTCAACAGCTTTTTAGGGATAGAATGGGCAATTTAAAAAACTTTTTGCTGCCTTTCCTTGCTTTCCTTTGCTTTCTGCCCGATTTGGGCCGAAAATTTTTTTTAAACTGTTGCTGTTTCTTCCTTCTTCCAATTCCGTCGGTTTCTCTTCCTTTCCTTTCACTTAAAACTCTCAAATGTGGGAGATGCAGCCTTTCTCTTCTATTCCTTTCTTTTCTGTTCAAATCTCATCTCCCAAACTAGCTATTATTATGGAAGTAAGTGGGATCTTCTCCATGGAATTGGTAAAGGCAATGGCATCATTCATGTTAGAGGGGACTTCTCTGGAAGCTCCGGTAAGCGCTTATAATACATTTAACAACAATTAATAGTGGAAAACCAGATGATTAGAAAACAGTGCAGTTAAAATAATAAAGTTTTGAGTTTTAGATTCGAGTAATCTGGTGGTGATTGATATTTTTTTATCCCAATCCCCTAGAAGCCAAAAGAAGAAGGTGGTTGATGCTCTCTGTCATGCTTCCAGTAACTTTAGTATTAATAGCAATTGTTGCCTCAGTTTGGTTATACCTGAGATGGAGAAAGTTTAAACATGAAGGTACGAATATCTATATCAAAATTTATGGTCTCCGTTTAATTTCCTGTCTTTCAATAAAAGTTTCAATAATTTCACATGACACTCAGCTACATGGTTATACTTAAATGAAGGAGTTATCAAAGGGAGAGAAGATGCCATAAGAGAAAGTGTATCGTTATTATTGTATCAGTTTGTAAGCAATGCATTCACTGCAACTTACGGAAGTGATGGAAATAGTCTTGAACTTGGCAAGAGGAAAGATCCTGAACCGCCGCATCTAAGCTTTTCAAGCATAGTTTCTCTGACTGATAATTTTTCTTTCGCCAGTAAGATTGGGAAGGGTGGTTTTGGTCCTGTATACACGGTACACGTTCTTTCATGATAGGAGAATGATCCAAGACAACTTAATCGATTTTGTGTTACAATTTAGTTGCTATATGGCCTCAAAATCTCTGGTGCTAATAGAGTAAGCACTATCATAAATTTAAAATTGCAAGGCAAGATACTCGGACATGAAATTGCAGTAAAAAGACTTTCTAGAATGTCTGGGCAAGGACTAGAGGAATTCAAGAACGAGCTTCAACTGATATCAAAGCTCCAACATAGTAATCTTGTTAGGCTTCTGGGATATTGCATTGAACAAGAAGAGAAGATATTAATATACGAATTTATGACCAATGACAGCTTGTATTCCTTCTTATTTGGTTCGCCTTCTGACTTCTCGTATTTCCCCTGGACTTTGACAGACAGAAGCATACTTTCTTGATGTAACTGTAATTATAATTGCATATGCTAGTGCAGATACTAACAAGCGTTTGCAGCTAGACTGGGGAAGACGTTTGCACATCATTGAAGGAATCGCTCAAGGTCTCCTTTATCTTCACAAGTATTCTAGATTTAAAGTCATCCATAGAGATCTAAAGACAAGCAACATATTGTTGGACAGCCATTTTAACCCCAAAATATCAGATTTTGGCATGGCAAGAATTTTTGACGAGACTAGTCAAACTAAAACGAAAAGGGTTGTTGGCACTTAGTGAGTGATCAGACCTCATTCCTAATTTCTATGAATCTAGATGATTGTTGACAACTTATATCCAACATGCTTGTCTTTCTTTATTTGTCACTACAAACACACTTCCAAAATCTCTGTGGTGCCTCTAAACAGTCCGCAATTAACTTGGCTCATTCTGTTAGTACATTTCTCTATTTAACTGATAAAATTGCTTGATCACGCTGGAAACAGCGGTTATATGTTGCCAGAGCATGCAGTGCACGGCCTTTTCTCCACAAAATCTGACATTTTCGGCTTTGGAGTAATTATGCTGGAGATTATAAGTGGGAAGAAGAACACAACTTTTGTACCGATCAGATCAATCACTTAACCTGCTAGGATATGTAAGCAACTCAATCACGGCCTATATCTTCTGTTTCTCTTCTCTGTTCAAATTAAACAAGTACTTGCTAATTGTTTGCTAAGAATCTCATAAACTGTAACGTGTTCGTAAAGGCTTGGGAGACGTGGCAAGAGGGTCATTGCCTGGACTTAATGGATCAAACATTGGTCGACTCGTGTTTGGAGGATGAGCTGTCTTATCCATTCAGGTGGCTCTTCTTTGCCTTCAGGAAAACCCAAAGGACAGGCCCACCATGTCCGATGTTATTTCAATGCTGAACAAAGAAAGAACAAATCTGCCAATACCAAAACAGCCTGCGTTTTCAACTTTATGTATCCTAAATGTTGATACTCCCCAAGCGATGCACTGATCGCCTACTTCAAATGATGTGACTTTATCTGTGATTGAAGCTCGATAACATCCCATCTAGGTAATAACTAACATCCCATCTCGGTAATGACTTATTTCTTCATAGACGTTTTTCATTTTCCTGTCAAGTCTTTATTGTTCACGTTCATCTCTAAAAAACTTTTGCATAGAGAAAAGCTTATCCAAACTCTTATTTCGTGGCAGCGTGCAATATGGAGAAAAACAGCTTCTCCATGTTTTTTCATTGACATTTCTTATACTTCTTGCTCACATTCACCTTCTGAGCAGCATTGTCTCAAACTCAATACAGCAGCCTGCATTGAAAGGAGTCAAAAAAGAATTGGAAGTGTAGCGAGAAACTGGAAAGGAAAGCAGGTTGCAGCATGGGCCTTGGTGGACAAGAAGCATGGAAAGTCAAGAGATAGATGATGCTGAAGCAATCAAATTATCTCTTATCAAACCAACGGAAGAAGGCTGGACAAGAGCACAGGTACAAGCAGAGAGTAACCACCTCGTTGACAAAGATAAATTCCTACAGCTGCAATTCTTTGAAAATGGCCACAATCCTAGAAGACATTGTAGTCCCTAGCTCCTCGTTTGATTTGTGCTCCTTCGCATATACAAAGGAAAAATGATATAGAGTAGAAATATAGCAAATTATGGTGTAAACTTGCCAAAGCGGAGTGCAAGGTTCATTTTTCCCTCTGTCTAGCGCAGGAACAGTGCAGGCATTTTGCCCGATATACTGTAAATCTTTTGTAATAGTTATTTATCACCCAAAAAAAAAGTGTCATTCATAATTCAATCGAATCCTTGAAGACGAGAACAAGTAAAATTCACTACTTGAATTCGCTAAATACGGTAAATATTTCCACCTTCATAATTAAGTGAAAACAATTTATACTTTTTTTTTTATATTGGTCATAGACTGAAACAGTAATTATTTTTATGAGCCTTATTATTTCGTATTCGTAAAGTTGATCATTACGAGTGATTGTAAAAATTATATTTGAGTATTTCTAAATATGTGTTTATTTAACCATTCGAATTGACCCAGCGATCAATGGAAAGTTAAATCTTGTACACGACAGTTGGAATTAGAGGTGTCAAAATGGATGACTTTGACGGGTTTGGATTGGGTAAAATGGATAATGGGTATAAGTGAGTTAACCCATTTATACCCATTTAATTAGATGGGTATTAATGGGTAAGTCAAAAAATGAATTGGGTAACCCAATTACCCATTTATAACCCATTTTATTTTAACTTTTTGTAAACTCATTTAAATTCATTTTTGCAAACTAAGTTATCAATTTATACCACTCTTTGTACCCATCATTAGTTTTAAATATTTACTTATAATGCTCAATAAGCCTAATTACCAATTTTTTTTTTCCATTTATACTATATGTCACAAAATTACATATTATTCAATAATTGAATTATAAGAATATAAAAATTTGATCTAAGTACTATAAAAGTTAATATAAAATTTTAATCCAAAAATTTTGAACCCCTAACATTTTTTTCATATATAAATTTAAAATTTCATTTTAGAAAGATAAGAAAAGAGGCTAAAACTTATCATAAATTGGTAATGTTGAAAAATGAGCATGTTAACAAACTAAGAGAAAATAAAATAATAAGATAAAACCAACAAATAGTAATAATAATGAAACAAAAGTAGTTAACATCATGACAAAATGAAAAATCTGAAAAAAAAAAAGATGGGGGAAGAGAAGAGACTTGGGATAAGAGAATTCTAAATAGATTAATTGGATTTGATGGGTTACCCAATAATACCCATTTATTAAATGGATATTATTGGATAACCCATTTATACCCGTATATATAAAAAATTAAGATACCTATACTCATCTATTTATGGACGGGTATGAGTAAATTTAGTTAAGTGGATTGGTTTGCCACCTATAGTTGGAATAAATGAGATGAATGGTAATAAAAATTGAAAAGATATTTTTGCACTTCAAATGTTGTTACTCAAAATCAGGCTTTCTTAACTTCTAATTAAACAAAAAATGAGAACAACAAGAGCTTGCTTAACGACTGACGGCCGGCCCTATATCCTTTAGTGGCCAAGAGGTGGACATTGGATCAACTAGAATTAGGACTATTAATTGGGTTAGGTCAGTCCGAGTGTGGCCTGGTTGGCCCTTAGAAAATTAGGGCAAGCCTTGTATACCATTGGACTGGATTGAGTTTAGGCCCATTTTAATGCCTGATTAAATTAATTTGAGCTTAGGAGACAGCCCAATCAGAGCCCGATGATCTAGTCAACTAAGTTTTTTTTTTTTAAAAAAAATTAATTAAGGGAAGGATGGAATTTTAAAAATGAGAACGGAGAAAGGAGATATGAAAATAGGTTTCAAAATTTTTTGAAGTTTCAATCTTAGTCACGAGAATAAAACTTCCTTAACTTTTTTTTTTTCTTGTCAGAGCAGGGGAAGATTATGATTAAGAAGAAGGGAGGGGCTAATATAATTTTTTGTATAATTATTTATATTATTTAATAATTATATTTATTGTAACGTACATTATTGAAATTTACATATAATAATAAAAATAAATTAATATTATGTACATGTTATATATAATTATGTATTTAGGGTGAGTTCGGGTTAAACTCAAATTAAGTCTGACACTCCTAAGCTGAATTGCGTCCTTAGCATGAATGGGATCCAATAAAGTTGGATTTCTGAAACGTGTGATCAAGTGGGTCTATGTGTCCTCGTTGCAAGTTGGAGCCCAAACTGAAATGAAACATTTAATTCTCTTTTACCCAAAAGTTGCTCTTCTTCTAGAAACACTTTTTCCAATAACCGTGTCAAGGAATCACGGTACCCCGAGCATTTTGTTTGGGATTAATTTTTCTACACTTTTATTGTAAAAAAATTTTCACACTATTGTGACTAGATTCACAGAACTTCAACTTATATTTTCAATACTAGTGGGAAAAGCCCGCGCAATGCGCAGGAGTTTAGTGCCTGTAATTAAATATGGTTAATAATTATTATTTGGCATTTTCTAGTATAAGAATTGAAGTATGACAATTTTATTATGTGATATTAAATAAAAAATCATAAGCTACATATTGAGTTAAAAAATATAATATGCAATAAAACATAATTATAAGATACGACCAATCACTTTGCATCTAACCTAGTAGAATAAAAGACCTATTTATATATGCTCATGCACTTTAGGGATATTAAAATTTGTTGTTTAGTTTGAATTTGATCTTGATACGAGGGCAATCCACCACATTATCTTGTCATATAAGTGAGATTTGAACAATTAGCATACTTGAAGAAATCATTGCTAGTGGAATTTCGATTCTTGCAAGTCAAATTCTTGAATTTATATTGATTCCAAGTACATATCATCACGAGGTCTTCACATTGATCAATCAATTAATTATAATTTATTGTATGATTTAGGACATATAGCAAAGTATCTCCTTCTCGATAGGAGTTACAATCACGAAATAATTATACAAAGATATACAATAACTAACATGCTAATTTAGAGGAATAATTATCTCAAAAAAGTACTAAAGAATCTTAATCCACTCAATTCAAGAAAAACAATTAAAAGTAATGAGGTACATACTTTAGATTTGCAACCAAATAGTTTTAAGTAGACAGTTAAATATATTCGCAAATTAGATGAAGTGAAAATTTGTCTAAATGGAATAGTCAATAAAGTAGCAAACGATTTGAAAATTACCCTAATTAATAGTTAAAACAACAAAAGAAATAGATGCAATCTATAAATGGGAGAATTTATGATGATAAACTTATTTTAAACCACAAATAACAATTAACAAATGTGGTCTCTTCCCTATCAAACTTGTCTAACATGGACAATTGAATTAAAATACTAAAAAAATTATTGCACATACAACTTGCAATATTACAGATTTTTTACAACAAAAAAGTAGCTTGGTTAAAGAAAACATACCTATTGAGAAATGTATTGCAAAATGGGGAAGAGGAGTAGCTAATGTAGCAACATCTGAATTCAATATGCTACATGATTGTGGTGGAACAAAACCTATAAGTAAATGAAGTGAATTTGAATAAATGGAGGGTTACTATGCTAACGGCCAAGAAACCAGACTTCTCTACTAATTAACATTAATTGTGTCTTAACATCTATATATCATAACTTTGCAAATAACTGATAAAAAAGGATTTAAGAAATTAAAAGACTTAGATGTTAATACAATTAAATGATTAGAAGGGCTTTTATGTAATTTCACTAAAACACAAACTGAATCCAGTTGTACCCAATGTTCAATCGGATATCAAACACTGTCACATATCAAACTTATCCCTAACTTTAAATGTCTAAAAGGACATCTAAGTAATTACAAAAAAACTAAATTAGTTATAATAACTCATATTCAATATTCTAATTGCACTTCAAACACTCTTATATCTCTAAAAGAGCCCCATCCTTGCTCTTGAAATTCAAAGACCAACTCATTCTTATATAGTATAAGGACGTTCCTTTGAAATGTAACTCAATTACGTCTGCAGTGACTAGCATGCAAAAAAATCTTTACACTGATAGTATAATAGACATTAGTCGGATTTTAGGGTCATTTATTGTTGATAGTTGACGTGGGCACGGGTAGATACACTGGAAAATCATCCCTCCATGCATTGAAAATTAGCACGGAACAAATTGTTGAGTTGGAGCCCGCGAATTCGTTCGAAGCTGCCCATGAAGATATGTCCCAGACAATAATTGCTTTTTGTGTAAATGCAAAGACAGATATGCTGTTCCTCAGCATGAGCATCCACGTCCTCCATTTTGTTTTTTTCTTTTCTTCGCCTTCAACGAAATGCACATGCTTTTCGTTTATTGATTTCAGGATTATGATACACAGGTAAGGGGAGAAGAATGTATGGGAGGAGATATGGAGGATTGGGTCCTTCAATGGACCCTGCTACTCTGCAACTGTACAATCGCTGCCAAGCTTGTTTGCCTGCAATGGAACCAAAAGTGAAACTGATAAGATCTGCAGATCAAAAGGCAGAAATGAAAGCAGGGATGCAAGGAAACCTGTTCCTTACAACTTTGAAAGATACAAACCAAAAGCCCTTTGGACTTTTGTCCCTGGTCATATCACATTTTCCTCATTCCCGGTACTCTTTAAAATTAGTCTGGAATTACCCGTCATTGCATATTACATCATCACGGACCTCGTCTGTTCCTCAACTGCTTAATCCCATTTTTCACTTGCTAAAAAAAAAATTCCTTATTTGCATGATTAACCAACCGATTGAAGTATATGCCAAATTCTTCACCGTAACATCCTAACATGCGGCTTTCTTGCGCGGGGGAGCGGGGGGTGGGAATGGAAAAAGAAAAAGAAAGGAACTAAAGCTTGGTCAGAACGGACTTTAAAAGCATTTTATGCGGTGGAACGGATTTTAGAGGTGATATAAATTGCAAATGTGGGAGGACAGGCTTTGGGTAGTTCATGGATGGTCCGCGGTGACCTACAGGGATTCACATGCCTGATAAGTTTAAACAATAAAGACAAGCGAAATCGGATTCCCCGAACAACAACAATCACAGATTACTAGAATGTCATCATCAAGAATCCAGTTACTAGTAGAATGCAAAAAAAAATACGGTATACTAATACGTATAAATCATTGAGGTGGTGGAAATCAATGAGGGAGCAGAGCACGGGGGCTTCATGTACGTTTCAGCTTTTGTGACCAGATATCCTCCTTCAAATGCAATAATTAT